GGGTACTGGTGGACAAAAAGCTGGACATGAGCCAGCAATGTGCGCTCGCAGCCCAGAAGGCCAATCGTATCCTGGGCCGCATCAAAAGAAGTGTGGCCAGCAGGTCGAGGGAGGTGATTCTGCGCCTCTACTCCGTTCTCATGAGACCCCACCTGGAGTACTGCGTTCAGCTCTGGGGCCCCCAACATAAGAAGGACATGGAACTGTTGGAGTGAGTCCAGAGGAGGGCCACGAAGATGATCAGAGGGCTGGAGCACCTCTCCTGTGAAGACAGGCTGAGAGAGTTGGGGGTGTTCAGCCTGGAGAAGAGCAGGCTCCGGGGAGACCTTATAGCAGCCTTCCAGTACCTGAAGGGGGCCTACAAGAAGGCTGGAGAGGGACTTTTTACAAGGGCATGTGGTGATAGGACAAGGGGTAATGGCTTTAAACTGAAAGAGGGTAGATTTAGATTAGATATAAGGAAAAGATTCTTCACTATGAGGGTGGTGAGGCACTGGAACAGGTTGCCCAGAGAAGTTGTAGATGCCCCCTCCCTGGAAGTGTTCAAGGTCAGCCTGGTCTAGTGGAAGGTATCCTTGCACATGGCAGGGGGGTTGGAACTAGATGATCTTTAAGGTCCCTTCCAACCCAAACCATTTTATGATTTAGTCACTGTTGTTTTCTCCTCCTCCCCTTGCTGTAGTTAGAAACAGCACCAAGCAATGAGATGTGGAAATGCTGGGGAATGCCTGTATCAGCAACTTCAGGTCTCCTGAGTTGCTGTGAAGCATCTGAGGCTTCTCACAGTGGCTTTAGCAGAAAAGTGTTACAACCTTAAAATGCAAAGAGCAGATTGAAAGCCTGTCTTGCATAAGGTGTGTGCAGGAAAACAATCCATAAAGGTCCTAATTCTGCTTTGCAGAAATTGCTGCACAGCTGTTGCACTTTGGGGGGACACACACAGAACTTGGAGTGGATTGTACTGTAAGTGTCTGCCAAAGCTGTTAGTGCCAGTTGCTGCTATTATGGTTAAGAACCGTGCTGTTTACTGTGCACATTGCCAGTGGTCATACTATATGCTTTTAATTTGCTACTGCAGGCAGTTTAAAACATTGCTATGTTACACGTTCAGAGGGCATGCTTTTTAAAAATGAGAAAGAGAATAAAGAGCATCAAAGCTGTAGGACTTCTTTTAAATTTTTATTCCTGTTACAAAAATTCCTTTTTTCTTCAGAATACAGAATCCCTGTTTTTACTCGCCATGTTTCCCTGTCCTTTCTCATCTTCCTCCCCCAGCTGCCCACCTGCCTCCAAAAAAAGATAATATGTTTAAGTAATTAGATGGCCTATATCTATTTTAAGAGTAATAAATAACTTACGTCTTTAAAAGGGTCCTTAATACTTCGTTCCATTGTTTCATCTCACCTTCTTAATGCATTTCTTGGTAGGAAGTTTGTTTGATATTTGGTTTTCTTTTTGTTTTAAAAGTAGCCTTAATGTCAACACAGATGGGCTTATCAAGCTCATAAGGGATGTACAGGGTTTTTTCCTTTCAGCATTAGTGGAGCCAGGTCAAGCACATTGCATTAGCACTGAGACCATAATTTATTTTTGTAATAAGCCAATTACACTTGGGTTACTGCAGGTCAGTGTATCTAATCATTTGGTTTTTAACACAAACTTCATTTGCGCATCAGGAGTTGTCGAAGATCACAATGCCGGTTATATTCAATGAGCCACTGAGCTTTCTACAGCGACTTACAGAGTATATGGAGCACACATACCTCATCCACAAAGCCAGCTCACTTTCCAGCACAACTGAGCGAATGCAGGTACTTTGGATGTGGTAATTTGTGCTAGCCCTTGATGAATGCGTTGGGATTTTTTTCTTCATAGATAGTCTCATTATAGGAGGAACTCCTGTAATTTGCTGCGTGTCAGATTCTCTCATTCATTAACCAGTTTTGCTTATCTAGGAAAATGTTTTGCTTTTCCTAAGGCTTGCTTTTTTAGTCTTCTGAGGAAAGCTTTATTCCCCTGCCTTGCGAACAGAGCTTTGCTAAGCTATTTCAGAAGAGTCATTCTGTAATACCATGACTGCTGTTGATACTTGATAAAGACTAAAATCAGGAGATTAACTGTGTACTCTTACTCTTTTGAATAGTGTGTTGCTGCATTTGCTGTGTCTGCTGTAGCCTCGCAGTGGGAACGTACAGGGAAGCCGTTCAACCCGTTGCTTGGGGAGACGTATGAACTGATCAGGTAATGAACAGAAGATGCACTGAAGAGTGGAGAGTGGTATTCTGTGTAACTGATGCTTCATTAGACTTGTCAGGTGGCTTGCAGATTGCTCTCTGGCTTGTAGGATTCCACCTATTCTCCTAGCAGCTGCTGGAGGTGCTTGCAATGCGTGTTGGTGTTCAGCAATGCACCTTCCAGTGAAGGGAAACTACTTAACTTCTCAACTCCGAGCAGGCAAAGGAAATTTGCCAGGTTTAAAAGCAAGTTTTATTTACAAAAATGACTATTTTTTCTGAAACCTTCTGAATGAAAAGATGCATGGTACATAAGGGAGGTGTTAGAACTGTAATATTCATTATATGAGTGTTCAGAATACAAATAGGCAATGTTAGTCTATTAGTGTGCAGCTGCACTTAGGGCACTTTTTTCTCTCAGGTGAGGTTTTGGCCCATGTTTATATGAAAGTTTAAGAAAGAGGTCACTATCAAAAGTAAACATATTGGCTGATCAGATTTAGTAGTTTTTGTTACCTTTTTACATTATGGGCTCAGTTATTTAGAATGAGGATTTTGTGTGTATTAGTTGATCTGTCTCTTTGTTTTATCCTAGGGTTTTAACTAACTCTTGCACTGAGTACAGCAACTATGCATGGGTCCAACTATCTGTTTCACCCTGGGGAAAAGAACTGCAGCTTCACTACACTTGATACATAGATACATGCTTTTGTTTGTCTTTATTTTGCAGAGATGATCTTGGATTTAGACTTCTCTCAGAGCAAGTTAGCCATCATCCACCAATCAGTGCTTTCTATGCTGAAGGTTTAAATAATGATTTTGTGTTTCATGGATCAATTTATCCTAAACTCAAATTCTGGGGCAAGAGCGTGGAAGCGGAACCAAAAGGCACAATGACTTTGGAGCTTCTTGAGTAAGTTGATAAGTAATAATTGCATAGGCACAGTGGCCACATCCATGATGATTAGTGTGCATTAGTCTCATGGCTTAGGAACGGACATGTCTAACACCCACATCCTAATGTTTGATGGCAGATCACTTTGTGGGGAGGAGGGGATGAGAAGGTGAAAAGAACTGCCATCATTTCTCCTAATACACAGCGTACTAATAGTAGCAGTAGTTGGGGCTTGTGTCTGTATGTTCTGCAGATGCCTGGACGTCAGTCCTACGAAGACTAGCATGCTTGAGTCCTGTTGGCTTTCCTCATGTCATTCAGTGCTAGCAGTGACTGCACTGAAGTGGCTGTTTTAAGGAATTCATAAAATCAGTACCAATAGGTTAATAAACTTCTTAATTGCCATGTCCATTTCAAGACTTGGTGCGATTTATAGATGATGGCTCATTGCAGGAGTGACATCCAATACAAAGATAGAGTATCTTAATTTTTATTCCCCTCCCTTAGACACAATGAAGCCTACACGTGGACAAATCCTACGTGCTGCGTGCATAACATTATTGTGGGCAAACTTTGGATCGAGCAGTACGGAAACGTGGAAATAACTAACCATAAGTAAGTTGAGAGTGTGAGTGCTTTCACTTGCTGCAGGTTTGAAGAGGAAAAGCATTTGGAAGTAATTAATGCCCTCTTGTTCTGCCTTTAGAACTGGTGAGAAATGTGTACTAAGCTTCAAGCCCTGTGGCCTCTTTGGGAAGGAGTTGCACAAAGTTGAAGGCTACATTCAGGACAAAAGGTAACAGGAAGCAAATGGCTGTCCTCTGTTTCTGATGGGAGCTGTAGAACTGAATGCCTTTAACATAGTCTGTCAAGGGCATGAACCTGCAACAGCAAGGTTATGAATTGTGCAACACCAAGAATGGAGTTTTAAGAGTTGCTCTCAAAAGTTCTTCTTTCAAATATTTTTTGTCTGAAACGATGAAATAAATCTCTTTAAGCTCCTTTGTAAACTTAGTCTTTTTTTGACAGCAAAAAGAAACTTTGTGCCTTGTATGGGAAGTGGACTGAGTGTTTGTACAGTGTTGACCCAGCTACATTCGAAGCTTACAAAAAAAATGACAAGAAAAATGCAGAAGAGAAGAAAAGCGGTAAACAGGTATTATTCATGTAGAGAGGTGGCATCTCAAAAGCATAAGATAGCTAAATATTTTAGTATCATTTAAGAGCATTAAGATTTCTTTTCACTTATTTTCTCTTTCCTAGTAGGATACAAAACAGATTGGATGAGTACCAGCATTAAGGGATAAAATGCTTTCTCTCTCAAGGATTTGTATCCAAAACTTGGAGTGATCTAAATAGTGGCTGGTTCATTACCTGCCTCTTCCTCCCAAGTCAGGAAATAGCATATCCATTAGTTGGACCATGGTTTTGATCGTATATGATAACATTTATATTCTAATAGGAGGATTTGGACTCCTAGAGGCAGGATAGTCTCGTTTCTCATCTTGATAGAAGATCATATTTTCCAGCTTTTTCAAGGAATTTATTGCTTTCTATTAAATTTTCACAACCATAGAAATGCGCTTTTTTTTTCCCCCTCCACAATTGCATTTTTTTTTTTTCTTCTGGAAAAAAACCTCATTCTTAATTCTTCCAGATTTCTGGTCAACAGTATGCTTTTTGTTTAAGGTGAATGGTGATGGTGACAACATACTGCTTGATGAAGAACAACCACTCACGTAGTAGCTTAAAACAGGGATTGTTCCCCTTTGGTGACTGAAGCCAGGTTTTTTGTTGGTTTGGGTGTTGGTAGTTTTTATACTTAAGAAAAAAGAGACGGAGAACTCTGAAAGCAGTTGTTCTGTGCAGGTTCAGATTGTTGCTGTATCTGAGATTGCTCCAGTGCTTGTCGTCAGGGGAGTGCTAAAGCACTGGAGATTACTGCTTCTCTTCGAGTCTGACCCTGTGAGCTCTAGGGAGAAGGAACAAAGAAAAACATACCCTGTGTCTTTGTTCAGCTACCACTTTGCATTTTCCAACAATGCTTAAGATGATCCTTGCTTTTCACTTCAAAATGAAGCATCCTCTTGCATAAAGCTCAAGCTGCAATGTTGCTCTGACTCTAGAAAAACACACTTTTTCTACTCATTTAACAGAACTATTTCTGTGTAGAAAACTGAGAGCTTCGTAATGCACACTATGAATCAGGTAGTCTTTGTTGAATATGTGTTCCCACTGCGCCCTTGTGTTTCAGGAGTTGATACTGTTTATGGGTTTTGAGCATCTAGGTGAGCCAAGTCTCATGTATAATGTCTGGATGTGGTTTGTCCCTTCATGGTAGTGAAGGATTCATTCAGGCATGAAAGTACATGGCCTTTCAAACTTCTAATTAGAATTTTCAGATTTATTTAGTTGTTTTCCAGCTATTCCTTTGTGCTGCGTTGCTACTAATGAAGAATCGCTTCTGTCTCCCTTTAGGGGACCTGCTTGGACGCGAGCCCTTTTGCAAATTGCCCCAGATTTTTCTCCGAATCCCTTTGATTTTTATAGGGATAAAACTTAAGGAAAAATAATTTTGCAGGGAGCTAGACAAGCCTTCATGTATGCAAAGGTGGTATTTTACCAACCCCCTAGACCTGGGGTTAGACCAGGATGATTCTGCTCTGAATGAACTAGAGCTTTTTTTTAATCAAGATGAAGCGTTTTGTGCAGAATTTTCAGTGCAAATATATGGAAGAGCATAATGTAAGGCAACAGCAACTGCCCTCACACGTGCCTCGTTTACAGACGCCAGAGGTCTTGCTTTGGCAAAGTCTGTTACTACCCTCCTAGCAATATACTGAGAGGTTGAGTAGTGCCGAGCATGAAATGTGGATCATTCTTATGGCATTTTTAAGATTATGTATCCAACAAGGCACAAATTGCAGCGTGTACTGTGTAGCCTTTCTATAAAAATTGGTTTGGAGTTTGACAGTCTGGCATTGAAGTGTCTTTGTTTTGATATAAGGATATCTTTCTGATCTGTTCTGCTTCACATTCCCGATTTCTGAAAGATTGATCAGTGTCCCTCAAAGGACAGAATGGCAGGTTGCCAGCACAGTTCAGATGTAGTCAACTAAAAGCCCTGTTTAGCTTCCTGATAGCTGAGGGACTGAACCTGGTCTGCATGTTGGTTACTTTGCAATACAGGTTACTTTGCAACCTGTTTGTTATTAAAAGCACTGTACCCAAGTGCTCCACAGTAAAACAGAACCCTTAATACTTACTAATTTCCTTGGAGGCATGAATCATCTCAGAGGACAACTGCGTCCAGTTTGGGTACTGGATTTTTTTTTGGACTAAAATGTCAGTCTGTATTATCTGATGCAACCATCAGAGAGCAAAGCTTATTAGCAGCAGGATTAAAGCTGTTGGCATGTAGCCAAAGTATTTAAAGCATTAGTTGCCTTTAAGTTCAGCTTTACTCTCCAGTGGTCTCTGAAACATGCTGCTGTTTTTAGCTGCGATAGTGACACCAAGTTTTCTTGGGAGAGCCGTATTCATTGTCTAGCTGACTATAGTTCAGTATTGTAACGTACGCTTGCGTGGCGGAATTAATGTCAGCAGCATTGGACCCCAGCTGCTTTAAAGCTGTCCGTAAAAAGGGTGATGGTTTAGAACTAGTTCAGGTCACATCTACGCTGTGACCACCAGTTATTCTCTACTGCCCTAGTAACGCTGGGTGGTTTCTCCCTTTCTGGGAAAACCATTTCACAGTGCTGTGGCTGCGGCTGCCTCAGGCCGTACGTGTCAGCCTTCATAGGATACCCTTCCCAGAAGAAGTAGCTAATCTAGGATATTCATGTAACGTTTGCAGTCTGCCATTTCAGTAGTGTGGTGGTCAATGGAAAGGAAGGTTCCTCTGAGCAAAGAGCAGCAGCGTAGGGCTTTCTGTTGCGCGCAAACTGAAGACAGCATTTGCATTATGTGCTGTCATTTCTTTGATGTGGAAGGGTGAGGAATGTGACTTCTGTTCTTCAACTCCAATGAAGCAGTAATGGAGTTAAATATGAGGCACGGAAATGCTTGTGTTTGAGGAAACGGGACATCTCTGTGGTGGAAAAATTGACATTTCTTAACGCTTCAACATCCAGATTATATCTACGAAGATGTTGATGCAAGAAACTATTGGGAGTATGTATGCTAATCTTGTTGTCCTTCTTGACAAGCATCTAGAAAAGTTTCTTCGTTGCTGAAATTATTTACTTTTGGTCAAGAAAATAATTTTATGTAAGCTCCAGTGTTGGAATGAATGGGTGTAAATGGTTTATGACTCCAAACAACTCCTTGTCTTTTCTTTGTGTGCTGCCTTTAGGTGGGCAATACTGAGGAACCAGATGAGATGCCGCTGCCAGATTCTGAGAGTGTGTATGTTATTCCTGGAAGTATTTTGCTATGGAAGATAACTCCAAGACCTCCAAATTCAGCACAGGTCAGCTATGCTTCTGCTTATTGGAAGTGGGTGGTATCCCGTTATTCTGTATGTTCAACACAAAGCAAATCCATTTGTTGTCTCTTTCATTAGCAAGTCTGGATTTGCCTGTTCATTGCAACAAACTTTTCCACTACAATTGTAACTTTATAATGTGGGGTTGGAGGGATAACTGCCACAGGCATGACTGTAGAGTTACGGGAATTTCTCTGGAAAATGGGATGCTTCATGTAGCTAGTGGTATGGGGGCTTTCCCCACCCTGCTCCCCCCACGGAGGCACCTACCTGTGAGAAATCTCTTCTGAAGGGCGTTATTAGAGGACAGACGCATCCTAGGAGACTCTTGCAAAGCCCGCGTAGCATGTGTTAGTTTGTGAAGGGCTATGGAGCCGGAGAGCCAGTGGGCGGAATACAAGGGTATGTGTGCAACTGGAATGACAAAGAATTGCAACAAGAAAAGGTGCCCTCAGTGGGTTAATCAAGGGGGAAATCTCTCTGCAGAGAGAGGGAAAATACCAGTAGGACTGGAAAAAGAAGATAAAGAAATAGTGCACTGAGTAATTGGATGCTGGCCTGCTTAAACAGAAACACCAAGGATCACCTACGGTCTGCCTGACAGTGCAGTTTTGCTGGTATCTTGAGTATTCCTATCTTGAGCGATTAAATAATAAAAAAGCACTTGGATGTTTGTTTTTAGACAACGGCTTTCTTGTATTAAGACTAGCAGCTAGAGACATCGTAAAGTCACCTTTTATCTTTGTCTCTGAATTTCAGATGTATAATTTTACTAGCTTTGCTATGGCTTTGAATGAGTTGGACAAAGAAATGGAGAGTGTCATTCCCAAAACTGACTGCCGGCTACGACCAGATATCAGAGCCATGGAAAATGGAGAAATAGGTAACTTCAGTTATTGGCAAAGGTGGTTTTATTTTTTTTTTTGTTAAAACTGAGGGACTGGGAAAAAAGTAAATTCCCCATTCAAGTTGTTAGATGAACTGTTAGAGTAAGTAGGTACCCATAAAGATACATTCCTCCATGCTGCAAGCCTTCTGCAGGTTGTGGTATGCTTCTGGTGAAAGGTATGTCACCCATCTGTACTGGGGCTGGTTGGGATGGAGTTAATTTTCTTCACAGCAGCCCATGTATGGTGCTGTGTTTCAGATTGGTGACCAAAGCAGTGTTGGTAACACATCAATGTTTTAGCTATTGCTGAACAACATCAGCACAGTGTTAAGGCCTTCTCTGTTTCTGGGTTTGGCAAGAGGATGGGAGGGGACACAGCTGGGACAGCTGACCCAAACTGACCAAAGAGATATTCCATACCGTATGACATCATGCTCAGCAATAAATTGTGTGTGTCGGGGGGAAGTAGCTGTTGCTTGGAGGCTGGCTGGATACAGGTCTGCTGGTGGAAGGTCATAAGTGATTGCCTTTGCATCACTTCTTCCTCCTTTTTTTTCTTTCACTTATTAAACTGTCTTTACCTCAACCCATGAGATTTTTTTGCTTTTTGCTCTTTGATTCTCTCCCTTAACTCGCTGGGGTGGATGGGAGTGAACAAATGGCTTGTGGGTGCTTAGTTGCTGGCCAGGAACCCACCACACCACTTGCTTATGTTCTTCCATGTAAGCAAGAATGTTAAACTTCACAACGCTATGCTTTCTATTTAGCTTTAGGCCCTCTGCTGTGCTCCATAGTCAAGCCCTGTAATTGGAAACTAGTCTAAGGAGACAATCTCTGAGCATCAAAAGGAAGTATTTGTGAACTTTTCAGTTTTCTGTTTCCATCAGCCCGAGGCAAAAGGAGTATTTTGATGTGCCAATTCTGAGAAATGCTGTCTAAACTATTTAAGTAGAACTGCAATGCCAAAAGATACACTTGATGCAGAATTCTTCTTCACTGGGAGCTGAGCACTTCTGTTGTCCTAGAATAGTGAATTAGAAATACATTATGAGACTTCCAGTGAGTAGAAATAGTGTGCTTTTTGGAAACCTCATAGAGATTGTTACTGTAGATGCCATAGAGTGAAAAGTGTCTTTTAGTCTTCCGACGTGTGACTTGGTGTTAAATACTTCAATATGGTGTGGAACAGCCTTCCCCTGGCCCTCTTCTGCTCCTTTTTCTTTGGCATTTTGTATGTTAAAGCAGGATGGCCAGCTTTGTAGACTAAAAGCATGGGGGCTCTTGCTTTTTCTGGATTGCTAAGTGATTGGGGTAAGTCATGAAACCTCTGATTTGGTTTCACCTATGTAATAGGGCAATGACTGTGGCTACTTCTGATAAATAGTCCGAGATCTAGGTATGAAGAACTGTGACACGGGCATAATACGGTGCAGTTGGACTTGTGCATTGTTTTTCTCAAAAGCTGATAACCACTTCTCTGAGGCTTTTAAAAAAGCAGATCGGTGAATTCCCACAATCAGTCTCTCCTGCCTGTACAATTCTTTTGTGGCCATCAGGGTGGACATACTTGGCTCAGAGCATCCCCAGGAACTTGTCTGTCTAAACTTGAAGTGCAAATAACTATGCTGTTAGCAACAGACCATATTCCTTAACTATAGTAACAGCATAAAGTCTGTCTAGCAGATAGACTGGTAATACGCAGTGTGTTTGTAGCTGGCAGGGTAACTGGGAATGGCTGATAGTCTTCCAAAAATGATTGTCTCAACTGCTTCTTTCCAAGATGTTTATGAAATGCTTTTTGAGGATTCAGGTATGAAAAAAGATCGCCCTTCACCTAACCTGCTTCTTAGTCTGACTTACTCCTCAGACCTTCTGACCATCCTTTCTGCCAAATAGAAGCAACAGTTCTGCTTGTTTAGGACGATGACCTGTACTACCTTAGTGTGTTAACAAAAAAAATGAAGGGATGCTGCAGAGAGACAATTCTTTGTGGTTTGGAAATGAATATTCCAAACCCCTGTTGATCAGGAACTAGGCACTAGTAACAACTTACCCCAAACCTTAACAAGAAGCAGGTGGCCAGACTTATGAAATAAACCCAGCATATCTTAATCAGTTTCCCTACTGAAATAAATTCTGGGTATGCCACCTCCCCTAGCTCACATTTGCTGTCACGTAATGTGTTTTCAGGGTCCTCGGACCATGGATAAACATGTATTTAGCAGTCTTAAAGACTGGGATTCCATTGGCTGATCTTGTGCCACAGCTGGCCTGGCTTTGCTCTTAGACTAAACCAGAAGCTCTTCTGTGTTATGTAGGAGGCTTTTTAAATGGACAACTTTTACTCCTTCCCTTATTTATTTGCTGGGTCAGATGGAGTAATGTCCCTGTCTGATATTACACTTTACTTCTGTATTTTTATTTGTGTATTTTCATTCCTTCAAGATCTAGCTAGTGAAGAAAAGAAGAGGCTAGAAGAAAAACAAAGGACTGCCCGCAAGAATCGTTCAAAGTCAGAGGAAGACTGGAAGACGAGGTTAGCGTGCTTGCCTCTCTGTGTGTGTGTGTGTGTGTAGTTATATGAAGGTTTTGAACATTCAGGTTAACTGCCAGTCCACGCCGGTGATGTGCAGTGTTGTGTCAGCATGAAGAGCTGACATCATCAGGTTTGGTAGTGCCACTGTTGTATTTGCAGCCTTGGTCCCTGGCAGGCTGTAGTGCTTCCAGAGGGAAGCGTCAGGCTTGGTCTCGGTTCCTTCCCTCTCACGGCTTGCACACCCATATTCAAATACAAACTGTGGTGTCTTTTCTGAGCGCCTCTTGGTTCTGACACGAAAAAGATGTTGCTACCGATAGCTGCTTGTAAGGACTGTTGTTGCTGATTAATTTATAATTGCCTCAAATTTGCATGCTTGGCCAAAGAGAGGAGGAAATGCTTCCTCCAGTGAACTTGATAGCTTATTGCCCGTGACTTCTCAGATCAGTTGCTGTGTGCTGGCAATACTGTATTCCTACTGCATACAGTATTCTCCACGTTGGTGAAATGACTTTAACACCCAGATACCCAAGTCATTGTCTCCTTTCTGAGAGGGTTACGAACTACGAAAGTTAGAAGAGCTAAGGGAAAAATTGGCTTACAAGGGATCTGCCAGGATGTTTGGGGGGTTTTTTGGTGGGTTGGTTGGTTTGGTTTTTTTTTTAGTATAAGATAAGAGGGGTCAGTTGGGAGCTCTTACACAGAAGCCAAGTAGAAATCGTGAAAACATGACTGAATGTATCTAGTTTGACCAGACAAGGTCTATTTAAAAGTATAGTAATAAATTGGCAATCTCTTCACAGAAAAAAAAAATGGTAGGGCTAAACTCTGTGAAAGTAAGCAAGCTTCATCTCTTCCCTATTAACTAGCTATTACGACACCCAGACACTGTGGATTAAATATCTTTAAAATGTCTGTTTGTAACTATAAATCACTTTTTTCTTTTTTTCAAATGAAGTCACCCATCATCCCAGAGTCCCAGGTTTGGACGTGTCTGCCTTTGTATTTTTCCTGTGCCTGCTCTCCTGAAGTGTTTGGGTTTGTTTGCCCTGAGACTGGTGGAAAATAACATTTTTGTAATGCTTCCCAGTAAACATGTTAAGCGCTGGACAGCCTTGCACCTCCCTCTTTCCTGAGTTCAGAGTGGTTCTACCTCTCACCGAGTGTTTTCAAAGCAAGGAATAGTTATACCATGTTCTCCAGGTGCCTGAAGTAGCTTAAGGTATAGCTCAAAGCACCTGAGGGTTGGTATTGGAATTGGGGAATTCCCAGGGGGCAACTCAGAGCAGTGGTTTTTGGGGTGTATAATTAGCGCAGACAGCATTCACAAGGTTCTTCAGCTGCTGTTGTGCAGGTACTGTAGACCTGCTCAGCACTTGCCTGGGATATCCTTTAAGAACTCTCTTGTCTTCCAGGATGTTTCTAAAGCTTTGGCAGAAAATTCCTAGTGTCTGCTCTCTCTAGTAGGAATGCCAAGTGTGACTGCCTCCAAAGGATGAACGTAACGTGTGGAGGAAGAGTTGTGCTTTGGGGAAAAAAAATGCATACTGAGAAGGGAAACTCTCCCACCTGTTCCCAGAAGGTCAACTGTAGGTCTTAATCTGCACTGTAATATAAACTCTGGTGTAAACTATTGCAATTGCCTAGCCACAGAAAAGCAGACTAGTTACTCTGTCTAGTAGAGTTCCTCCCTCGTAAGACAATTCTCCAAAGTGCCTAGCGATTTTTTTTTTTTAGTTATTTTGAATCCACTTTAGAAGTGGGGTCTTGGTGTTTCTGAAGAAGTGATTCATGATGAACATGTCACGTTTTAGAGACTGACCAGTAGTCTTAAGTCTTGAGTAAAAGACTAGTTCGGGTCTGAAACATAGCAGTGGTCTGTTGCTTTTGATGAAAATCAGTCCCCTCCTTCGCCCATCACTTGCCTGGCTAGATTATCTGATTGCTTTGGGTCTCCCGTGTCTCTCAAACTCCGTTCTTCCCATCACCTTTCCCCTTCGTATTGAAGTAGGTGGTCACTGGAGGAGGGGCACATTGTCCTGACCTGTACAAGTGTTGAAGACACACTAGTGAGGCATTGGGTGGTAGAATTCCTTAATATGAGAGACTCTGCTTATAGCTCTGCCTCTCAGCAAACTCCTTGTGCTCTGGAATGAGCTGCTATTACCTGTGAACTAGGAGGTGAACTGGACGCAGGTACACACGCACCCACCAGTTACTTCGGAATAGCTGACGCATCCTGTGTGGAGGTGATGCAGTAGTGAACCATGTGCAGCACAGGGGTTGAGTGACTGCTGTCTTCTGTTGACTTCAGTTCACTTAACCAGGACAGCAGGAGAACCACTGAAGTGTTCAATGGTTCGGTTTGCCACCGTGAACACAGTACAAGGCATTTCTTCTGATACGCATCTCAAATCTTTTGAGCCAAGCAAGACTCGCCTATTAGCTGCCTTGCTTTGTAACATGACGCTGCAGTACTGGTGGCCTTTATGCTTTTGCTTCTTAAAGAGATCAAGTCATACATATTTGGTCCGAATGTGCTTTAATTTCTGTTCTGAAACCTTACGGTACCCTAGAAGGGAAGAGCCGAGTTAAAATGGGCTGCCTTGCACACGCATGATTTACTTAAATGAATGTGTTCACTGCAGTGAGGCACAGAAAGGAAGAGCTGGCTTTTGTGGCCCATGGGGAGGTGAAAGGAAGCTGTGGGGCATGTTAACCACAGAAACAGCTTCTAGCAAGCTGACTTGTGCCATAAACACGGCTTGGCAAAGTACAACAAGAAGTTAAAATGCTAGAGGTCTGGTACTGTGCAGCGTGTACTTTGGAGGCAGAAGATTGAGTGACTGGGCCCAAACAGAAAGCGGTGTTCAGTAACGGGCTGCAGGATTGCCAGAAATGGGTGTGGGAGAGGAGGAAGGACGACAAATTTCTGCGCCGTGCCGATTTGACAGGGTTGTACTCACCACCGGGGGATACTTGCCATTAGTATGGCCGTGTAAGTGCACCTTATTTTACAGATAGATGGCTCCCCCACCAAAAGGTTATATACACATGCACGTGTAATCTGTGCGTGTGTATAGACTGTGCCTCCAGATTAGGTAGGAGGGGAGAGGGAAGGAAAGAAAGAAGGTGCTAAACTTCAGTGATCCTAGCAACAACCGGCTTAGCAAAACTTCATGCAGACAGAATCAGCTTTCTGGCTATTCAGATTAGCCCCCGTGCTAAGGGTGTAATGCAACGCAGTTACGTTATAATAAGCCAGGACTTTTCCTGCAGCCTGCGGGTGATACGTCATCTACACTGAGGGTAGCCAGCACGCTTGTTCTGAGTTAAGTGCATTCCAAAACAAGGCTTTAAAAAACAAGGGGAAATCTAGATCCCTGGGAAATAATGTTTTTCTGTTTTCAGGACTGTGGTGCTTGTGGTGTTTACATGTCTTGCAAAAACTGTTACTGCTTATGCATGCCAAAATGATTGTTCACAACTGCTTTGAAGTAAAACCATACTGTCCTTTTTTATGTGATAGCCTTGACTGCTTCAAGTGACAAAATACTGGTGTCAGTCATTTCACCTAGGAGACATTTAAGTGGCGTGGCAAATGGGGAGAGCTAGCCACTGAAGATGACTTTAAATTCACTCATGAATTTAAAACCAAGAGGGCTCCTGCAATCACAATAATTACTTTGAACAGTAAACTGCTGAAGGTGCAGCAAAGCAGTTCTGAACTTCCATAAAAGTGTGTGTTGATAGCTTCGCTGACATGCTGTATGTTTCCTTGCAGATGGTTCCACCAAGGCCCCAATCCCTATACTGGTACGCAGGACTGGCTTTATTCTGGCAACTACTGGGACAGAAACTACTTTAACTTGCCTGATATTTATTAAAATGCAATAAGGAGCCTGTGACTGATACAAAGGAGTCTTAATCTGTTTTAATGTTTTCCCTTGTTTTACTTATCTGCTGAAAAAACTGACATGTTACCAGAGTATTAAGCATCTCCACAGTAAATCTGGTGGTACACGGTCTGCAGTCCCAGAGGTAGGGGAATAATTTTTCTGGCTGATGGTGGGTCCTGTGTGGACGAAGTAAGTCGCCATGGTTTCGAGCTGCCCTGTTTGCTGAATACACCTATATTAGGTTGTGGTGTATGAGGAATAGAACACCTTCGGCTGTTCTGTGAATACTTTCTTTCGTAGATAACATTGGCACAAGTAAAACTGGTTTTATTTATTGTGACATGGGAATGTTTAAAAGCACACACAGTAATTGCAATATTCTGTTCTTAAATGAAGAAGGGTGTGTCACTTCTGTAAAGATGTAATTTTTCATAAAGTGACTTTTCTTTTACTAAAGCAACTCCCATAAATCCTGAGGCTCTGGTCAGAGATTCCAGAAGTGTTCCCGTTTCTGGACCCTTAAATCCTGAGGCTCTGGTCAGAGATTCCAGAAGTGTTCCCGTTTCTGGAGCATTAATGCAGTTGTTTAAGCTGGTAACATTACTCAGAGGTATTTATTCAATGTTTTTGTGCAGTGTGTTTTGAATTTTGCTCTCCTGTTTTGCTACCAACCTTACGGTTTAAGGAATTAAGAGCCATTTAAATATCTACGGATTTGATTTGAACTGCACACTAGTAACAGGTTTTAAAAGAACCTGTTTCATGCACTAGAAGTTCTGGTGCCCAGCACCACTGCAAAAAGATGAGAACCTAATCAGTCCAGGACCCGGTGGAACATGGCGGGGGGGGGACAGGACCTGTGTCTGTACTGTGCAAACTCCTGGGGAGGAAGTCTTGTGCATTTCAAAGGTAGTACAGCACCTCAGCGAGGCCTCCTGTGCACAGCTGCTTTACCCCTTTTCAGTGGGGTGCATTCAATCTTAGAGTGTAAGTTTATATCAAACTGTGTACAGAGCTTCTAGAGGGCAAGCTGCTCTTTGTACAATATTTTAACTGGTGGCTGGAGGTTAGTGTTAATTGAATAATTTAATTGCTACTAAATAAAGGCTTCAAAACTTCTTGCATCTAGTCTAAAGTGAGTGGTGTTGGACAGCGCTGACCCTTTTGGAGCAAGCCTACTCCAAATAGGGGAATAATTTTTCTGGCTGATGGTGGGTCCTGTGTGGACGAAGTAAGTCGCCATGGTTTCGAGCTGCCCTGTTTGCTGAATACACCTATATTAGGTTGTGGTGTATGAGGAATAGAACACCTTCGGCTGTTCTGTGAATACTTTCTTTCGTAGATAACATTGGCACAAGTAAAACTGGTTTTATTTATTGTGACATGGGAATGTTTAAAAGCACACACAGTAATTGCAATATTCTGTTCTTAAATGAAGAAGGGTGTGTCACTTTTGTAAAGATGTAATTTTTCATAAAGTGACTTTTCTTTTACTAAAGCAACTCCCATAAATCCTGAGGCTCTGGTCAGAGATTCCAGAAGTGTTCCCGTTTCTGGAGCATTAATGCAGTTGTTTAAGCTGGTAACATTACTCAGAGGTATTTATTCCATGTTTTTGTGCAGTGTGTTTTGAATTTTGCTCTCCTGTTTTGCTACCAACCTTACGGTTTAAGGAATTAAGAGCCATTTAAATATCTACGGATTTGATTTGAACTGCACACTAGTAACAGGTTTTAAAAGAACCTGTTTCATGCACTAGAAGTTCTGGTGCCCAGCACCACTGCAAAAAGATGAGAACCTAATCAGTCCAGGACCCGGTGGAACATGGCGGGGGGGGGACAGGACCTGTGTCTGTACTGTGCAAACTCCTGGGGAGGAAGTCTTGTGCATTTCAAAGGTAGTACAGCACCTCAGCGAGGCCTCCTGTGCACAGCTGCTTTACCCCTTTTCAGTGGGGTGCATTCAATCTTAGAGTGTAAGTTTATATCAAACTGTGTACAGAGCTTCTAGAGGGCAAGCTGCTCTTTGTACAATATTTTAACTGGTGGCTGGAGGTTAGTGTTAATTGAATAATTTAATTGCTACTAAATAAAGGCTTCAAAACTTCTTGCATCTAGTCTAAAGTGAGTGGTGTTGGACAGCGCTGACCCTTTTGGAGCAAGCCTACTCCAAAAGCTGCTGCGATGAATGTGCTTCAGGGCCCTCTCTTCCCCTAAGCAGGGACAGGCTGCTTACGGGGGGTGGGGAGGGCTGGGGAACCGAGGGCTTTCTCCTTGCATATGCAGTGAGGCTGCAGCTCTAGCCTTGAGGGTGGACTACTGAAACTGTGAATAAGGCAATGATGAGATGCTTTCTATTTTTATTCTGTGCACTACTAGAATTAGCCAGGTAGTGATGCTGAGACATATTTGCATAGATAAGGGAAAGCCTTTTCTTTGGCAGTCTTTCATGTCAGGGCCCAGTTCTCAGAGTGACCTGTAGATGAAGAAATTGAATAGCTGCACTGTCTCTTGGAAGCCTCATCTCTACACTCGAGCTGCTATGCTGGCCAGCATTTCTTGAAGTCTGTCTTAATTCCTGTGCAACTTCCAACTGGGGTTCTGAGATACATAGAAACAGTCTAGCTGTTGGGTCTGAACGCTTAGTGCTAGGAAAACCAAAGCATTGAGTTCCTGCCTGCCCTCCCAGGTTAAAGAGGGGGAAACCTCTACACAGCATCAACCTTTCTTCTTTTGAGTGCCTTCTGTTTCATAAGAACAGATTTTTTTTCCCCCCTAGACTCTTGAAGTATGAATAGATCTGGCATATTTAACTGACCATAGCTGTAGTTATGAAACCTCTGAAGCAAAGTAAAGGTACTTTTTCTTAACCCCTTCTTTGAAGCATAACCTCAGCTGGCCTCCTGCTGTAATTTGAATGAATTGACCATGTGTGAGAATAATTCCCTCCTCTTGTTGAGTTGTCCTCTTGCTCCTGACACTTGTGTACAGCTCCTTCCTAGAGTATATCCCCAGCAGTATAGACTACACCTGGTTACACTGAACTGACTTTGGCTCCATACATGATCTGTCATTATCAGCTGGGGCTTATGCATACACCATGTTAGCGCAGTGAAGCAGCTGGGCCACTCTGCAATGAAACAGCTGCAGCAGATGTGTTTCAGCGGTCATAATTCACACAAAGTTAGCACAACATCCTGAATGTTGTCTTAGGAAAGTATAAAATGCATGGGAATACAGTTCTAATTGCTGGCTTTTTTGGAGCATTTGCATTATTTGATTTATTACAATGTAAACGCCATTGCTCCTGAACTCCTCCTGAAGTCCAAACAGTCTCTCTTCTCAACCTGTTTAAAAAATGTGAACTCAGTAGAAAGTATGCACCAAGAACTACATTAATTGCTACCTAAACGCACTCTAAGTTGAGGGTATTTTGCTACATGCTGAATATTACACTATGCCTGCAGCCTGAACTTTAAGGGTTCAAGATGTGTATGAATGCAAGATTAAAAACTTGGTTTCTTTAGACTAAAACCAGAGCAAGATTAGTACTACTAATTGCAAAGTGTAACAAGCAGAGGAAGGCAGTGGGTCTGTTATGTATGACAAGTAGTTTAACCACTGGTCTTAAACCTTACTTTATTTTGAAAAGGGGTTAAATTAAGCTTTTAGTAGTAATATCCAAACACATCTCCCTCTGCAAGACCCATGCAAGAAGCAAGCTTACTTCTTCATGACCCTGCTCTGGGCATGGGGCCCGATATAATGGTAATCTATCCTGCAGTACCATAGCTTTCTGCAAGAGCATCTATACCTGCGTGCTTATGACCAGCTGGCGAGCCTTTCTTTGCGGACATCACATCATCCAGAGGGATGGCAACTGAGAAAACATCAGGTCTGCACGGCTCAGCCGCAGTTTCCTCTGCAGAATTAGAATTGAGGCTGGCCATAGCTGGTTTCTCATCAGCCGGCCTGGCAACTGGGACAGGGACTGTAGTCAATCTCCTCCTAGCACCTGCATCCTGCTGTGCAAAGACAGCATGGCCAGGAATAGGTTTCCAATCCTGTACGTTCTGAACGTTAGAGCCCACTAAAATGAAGGGTGGAGCATCTCTCCTCTTGCTTTCTTCTTGTATCACATAAATTGGAGCGGGTACTTGTGACAGCTGACCACATTGTTGATCTTCCCCCCTGGAAAGACTGAGGGGTGCCTGGGAATAAGGAACACCAGCTCCAGCAGGAGAACGGGATGGTGGTGATTTTTGACCTTGTCTCAAGTCAGTTAGGCAATAGAGGGTCCATACATTAGAATGTGGTGATGGCTGTCCTGCTTCACTTGATGCCATGGCTACAAGGATAAAAATAAGAGTGCTGGTATCAGAAGCAGCGGATGTCTAAAACAAACATACCTAGACCTGGTGAAAGCAAGCATGTTAGAGGAGAAAGCTGGGATAGCAAACACTGTGGAATGTGGCTGACAAACACCTGCAGCTTAGAAAAAATATGTTTATGGTCAGAGCAGAGGCTCTTTCTGGGCAAGCATTTGTCTGCTATTTCTGAAACTGAAGTTTGTCAAACTCCCCTTAAAGTTTGTTTTGTTTTTTGGTTTTTTTTTTGGTTTTTTTTTTTTTTTTAAAGAGCCAATGTTAATTTACAAATCTGCTTAAGCTCAGCTCTCCTCTGCAAAATGCTTTGCTGAGACCTCACAGCTGTACTGCTTCTCCTGGGGCCTAGGACAGGGCATGAGCAGACTCCACAGTACTAAGGCAATTTGAGGCAGGGGAGCTCCACCCTGGAGGGTTTCTCCAGCTGGGCACGTCACCACAGGGAAGAGATGCTGGTGAGGGCCTCAACAAGAAAGATGAGCACCAGCTCTCTTGCTGTTCGTGGAACTGATGATGACCAGTGCTTAGCCCACTCAGCCCAGCTGCAGAAACTCACCAAGCTCAAGACACAGCACAGGCAACCACCACCACTTTTTTTCTAAATGGAAAACCTCCTAGGTCAGTGC